GTTGCTATTGCTATAATCCAAGGAAACAACCATTTGAAAGCAGACCTGTAACTGCTGATGGTGGTTTTTGTTTTGCTTTGAAATTCATTTGGGGCATACATTTTGTAATGTATAATATATGCTAACTCACTGCTCACTCCAGGAGTTTGATCCTAACCGGCTCAAGGTTGACCCATCCTTCCATCCTTCCAAAGACCAGTAAAACGAGGACCCAGATTATTGGGGGCAATAGGCTAACTCTGTAAACTGCTTAGAGAGGAATGTAAAGCACTATGAAGCAGTATATGTCTAACTTCTATTGCTATAATATACTGAACAAGCAATTTGTGCATTGGATTTAGTATGTTGTTATAATTGGAACAGTATTTTCTGTTTCAGCAAAGGAGAGCGAATTTGTGAGATTCTCATTCCAGGAGGAATTTCAGGAAGGACTACTCTGTTTATACCGGCACACAGGAGCAGTATGTGAGCATGAAGAGTTCGCACTGAGACATAGCCTGCTGATCTTGAAATTTCAACGTTTTGCAGAAGTAACTTTGAATTTATACTAGAGATGGGTCAAGTGACGTTGGACTGGAAGGAGAAACAACTGATTCTTTTCATGCATAGAAGGGTGCTCAAGCAAAGTTCATGCAAAGGGTGGCAACCTTGAGGTTGGAAAATTTTAGATTAAGATGGAGAATAATCAGAACACAGGGGGTTTTAGGGGAAATGTGGAAAAAAAAGAGTATTATGATCCAAATTGTTGCTTCTTTGGGAGAGGATGCCAAATTTAATGCACAAGTTACATTCATTTAGCAACTTTCAAATTTGAACGACAATGACAGGCGTTCTTTACAGAGAAATGGTAATACTGTATTATCTCAGACAATAACAATTTAAATATTTTAAAACACTAAAAATTAAACTATCATTTTAAACTTTAAAGGAACAGAATCAATTTATCGATCTGATTACGTGGAAAGGAGCCTTCTTTGAGTACAGCTCAATTCCTTCGTAATATAGAAAAATGTTTCTCAACTTCAGGAACTTTACGGTGGCTGGTGAATTCTGGGAGATGAAGTCCACACAACGTAAAGTTCCTGAGGTTGAGAAACACTGGAGGAGAATGTGAACTACTCCTTCAGTTGAGTTACAGTCAGTAGTTAGATTTTCACTGATTTCACAAAAACAGCTGCAGAACGGAGTCCAAAGCACAGTTTGTTCAAACATCTAGTTTTTCAGTGTGTCAAAGAGAACAAGCCAGATGGCATATGAGGCAGAAGTAATGGATTTTAGAACAAAACATCTGAGCACAATTTGTTGGGTGCTGGGCTTGCTTGCTTAGTTGTTGACTTGCTTTTCTCAGCCTCGTCCTGATCTATTGCTGGAGTAAGATGGGGAGCTTCAGAAACAGGGGACTGTAGCTTGGTAGCAGAATATACAGTAGCATATATACCTATCACTGAAGATTTGGTCCCTGCCATTCAATCAAAAGATCTTGTGTGGCTTTGCAATAAACAGCACAAATGATTATCTTGATTGTGCAAAATTCACATTCCAAGGTATAAATGAGGTTTTAATTTATGGGGACCTGCTGCAGAGTATCTATTCAGACGACGAGTTTCAGCGTCAAGAATTAAAAATCAGACCAAAACAATCTGACAGAATTGCAGAGGGAAATTGGACCCTGATTTCAAATACCTAATCTCTGAAATTTTAATAACTGTTTGTTACTAGGACGATCGGGACAAAAGAATTTATTTTATGGCAATTGCTTCCCAAATTGCTTTGTATTCCCTTATTCCTGCTTTGCCTCTCTTCATCCATTATCCATCCATCAAAATCGGCTCAACATGCCTGCCCCTGATTGAAGCATACAAACTGGCTCTGTAGTTATCTGATTTTTTTTAATCTATAGTGAATAATCTTCATTTTGAGCAATAGTTTTAATTGCTTTTAAAACTTAAAATCTCTAGCTATTTTATATTCTATTGTATCAGTCCCTGAACATCCTGTGTGAAGACAGTTACATAAGCTTTCATTCACATAGAAGTTTACCCAAACACAAACACAGAGACTCATGAGATTATTAAAAAAAGGAAAGCATACAAACAGGCAAACAATGCTGCAACCACAGGAAGAAAACTACAAAACCCCTTTCTTCAGCAGTAAAGAAATTTTCTAACTACAAAGTGAGTAGTTCATAAAGGCTAACTCCAAAACAGTTAAATTAGTCAGAATGAATCATATGCATAGGACAGGTTCAGAAATCCAGATCACTCTGAACGTGCCTTCGAAAATTATTAAAACATTGGGGACACATCTAACTCAAATGATGTGCCTCTCACAATAATATTTTCCTTAGGGGCTGCTTACATAATTTCTCAATTGTTTCATGCCATATTTTATTGAGTCTAATCTGACAGGGCACAGTCAAAGCACTATTGAAAGAGATGACTATAATGGCCTTGATTGGTATTTTGCAAAAATACTAATAAAGGCAACCTTGGAATAATCAGAGTATCGGAAAGGAAGAAAATTTGAAAGTGCTTGTGATGGATTTTTGTGACCTGTATATTGAATATTTGCTGAGTGGTGTGGTGTCCTAGTGGTGAAGACACACATCTCCCACTTAGAAAGTTGAGAGTTCAATCCTAAGTAGTGGCAGATGTTTCTCTCTTAGGGTGCAAAAAAATAAACATCTGTTACAAACTCTGAGTGGTGTTAGGAAGGGCATCTGGCCAGTAAACACTGAGATCCGTCCAGTTACCCTGACCTTACTCCAAATTAAGGGATTTTCATATGGAATATTTGCTGCTTGGGTCACATCAAAGGAAGATAATTATACTTATAAGTTCTTATGCTAGCAGGGGTGTCAAATAAGCGGCCCATGGGCCAGATGCGTAACACACAGGCCACACCCACTCCAGCTCCACAAAGGGAAAAACATTGCGATATGTCACTTGATGGCAAGGTGACATGGAGAGTTTGACACCCATGCGCTAAAGCAAGGGTCTTCAAACTTGGCAAGTTTAAGATTTGTGGACTTCAACTTCCAGAATTCCTGAGCTAACGAAGACTGAAGGAGAAATTCTGAGAGTTGAAGTCCACAAGTCTTAAAGCTGTCAAGTTTGAAGACCTTTGCGCTAAAACACTCAACTAAAAACATGGGGAAAGTTAAGAAAGCATAACTTCCAATAATTCTTGCTGAATATATAACTTTATATATACTTTAAATGATTATAGACCAGTAGCTCTCACACCCATAATCATGAAGTGTTTTGAGAGACTGGTCTTAAAATACAGGTTTGCCTCCCATCAAACCTTGACCCATACCAGTTTGCTTATCGGAATAACAGATCCACAGAGGATGCTATTGCCATGGCTCTCCATGTTGCACTGGACCATCTGGAGCATAATGAAAGGATGCTTTTTGTTGATTACAGCTCAGCCTTTAATACCATCATTCCGGATATACTGATTAAGAAGTTGCTGGAAATGGGCCTCTCCTCTCACGTCTGCTGTTGGATAAGGGACTTTCTTACTAGCAGCCCCCAAACTGTTTGGATTGGCAGCTATTTTTCCTCCATTCTTGCTCTCAGCACTGGCTCTCCACACCCTTTTGTATTCACTCTACACGTATGACTGCACTCCCTCTTGTCCCACTAACTCTATAATAAAATTTGCAGACGACACCCACACCACTGGTGGGACTCATATCAGGAGGAGACTAGACGGCCTATAAGTCAGAGGTTCTCAGACTGGTCTTGTGGTGCAAGAGTCATAACCTCACCCTGAACATCAAAAAGACTAAAGAATTCATTATAGACTTCAGACGATGCAAAGCAGAGCCTCTCCCACACTATGTATCAATGGAGACTGTGTGGAAAGAGTTCATAGTTTTAAATTTCTAGGAACTCATATTTCCGACAAACTTACTTGGTTGGTCCACACTATGGCCTCTGCAAAGAAGGCCCAACAGCGCCTGCACTTTCTGAGGCTGCTGAAAAAGAGTGGTCTGGGTGAGAAGTTGCTGGTTACTTTTTTACTCTTCTACCATTGAAAGCATTTTGGCATACTGTGTAACGGTGTGGTATGCTGGATTCTCTGTAGTGCATAAGATGATGCTCCAGAGAGTTATAAACACAGCACAAAAAGTAATTGGTTGCTCTCTTTCTTCTTTGGAAGAGATTGCGAAGACCAGACTCCTCTCTAGAGCACTAAAAATCTCCACAGACCGTTCTCATCCTGGTCATTCATACTGTATTTTGAACTGTTACCATCAGGGAGACGTTATAGGTGTCTTAAAATGAGGACTAATAGACTGAGAATCAGTTTCTTTTCCAAGGCAATAATTGTCTTGAATCAAACAGCACATTTGTGATCTAGTCCTATGTATATAGTGGCATTTTAAACTATTTAACTTACTACATTTTTAGATAGGTTTTAGACTAGGTTTTAAATTATTATTATTATTTTAATTATTTTAATTTTTAAATACTTCTAGTGTGATTGTGATGTGGTGTTTGGGGCACTGTGCTTGAGTAGCTTTCAAATTTCGTTGTATTCGTGGAATGCAATGGCAATAAATGTAAATTCTAATTCTAAATTCTATAATGGTTTACTATATTAATTTATTTGATTTTACAAGTTTTATTGTTTTAAATTGTGGTTTTATATGTTGTAAGCTGCCTTGAGTCCCCATGATAAATAGGCAGCAATTCAAATCTAATAAACAAACAAGCAAACAAATAAATAAATATTCTGAAACCAGGTCCTAATTGGGTATGTCTCAAATTCTTATAGATATTGATCGATTGACAGAAGACAGACAGATAGATAGTATATTCTCTTTCTAGTTAAAACCTTACTTGGATACAAATTGTCTTATGTCCTTTGATTTACTTTCTATTGAAAATGGATGGCATTTTGGGGAGGATATAACATTTTGTTTTATGGCAGAAATGGTGTGTATCGAAGCTTTAAGAAATATTAAAAAAAAGCTAAATAACACTTACTGGTAGGTCGTTGGGCTGACGTTGATGCGACGTGGATGACTTCCTGACTCAAACTTGCTTGCTAGGGTGACATTGTTGCCAAAGAGACAATATCTGGGCATTCTCACCCCAACAACTCCAGCCAAAACAGATCCTGAGTGAATCCCTATTCTCATCTGTTAAGACACAAAGGAATCATAAAACAAACCACATTAATCAGTATCTTCTTTTGCTTACTGACTTAATCCCCTGAATTTATTTGCTACCTCTTTTCCTGACAATCATCTTTCATTTTATCTTGACAATAAAAACCCTGTGGGCTAACAGAAGATAACAGACAAAAAGTCAGATAAGTAAGTTTCACAGTTAAACGTGGAATTGGCTCTTCATCAATACTTTCATTGGTGTTCATACTCCCTTTAGCTAATAGAATACTCAGGATAATCCAAGAGTAAGTTAATTTAAACCAAGATCAATAGCCACATGTTTAAAAAAGATACTTATTGAATTGTAATTGATGAAAAAGTTATTCAGTTAGAGGCTGCCAGACTCCAGAATCATTCTGGGTGCTTATATTTGAAATGATTAATTTGATTGGAAAGAATTAATAAACAGAGGAAACATGCTTGTGTCTAGAGTGACATACATACATACATACATACATACATACATACATACATACATACATATTTATTCATTTGCTCAGTAACATAATTCAGGAAGAGTAGTTTGAGATTTTAGGCACATCATTGGAATAGAACAGAATAACAGAGTTGGAAGGGACCTTAGAGGTCTTCTAGTCCACCCCCCTGCTCAGGCAGGAAACCCTATACCATTTCACACAAATGGTTCTCCAATCTCTTCTTAAAAACTTTCAGTGTTAGAGCAACTTCTGGAGGCAAGTTGTTCCACTGATTAATTGTTCTAACTGTCGGGAAATTTCTCCTGAGTTCTAGGTTGCTTCTCTCCTTGATTAGTTTCTATCCACTAGTTTTTGTCCTGCCTTCAGGTGCTTTGGAGAATAGATTGACCCTCTCTTCTTTGTCACAGACCCTTAAATATTGGAACACTGCTATCATGTCATCCCAAGTCCTTCTTTTCATTAAACTAGAGATACCCAATCATTAAGTAAACTGTCCCAATCGTGTGCGTGGTGCAGAGGCTAGTAATAGAGAAATTCCCTTGCCTTAAGAAAGCTTCTGAAATCTTTTTAATCGAACAACCTGAAGAAACACTTAAAATTTCCACAAAAACTCTCAACAAGCAGATTTCAAAAAGAAATTTCAGCCAGCTGATTTCAAGAGCTGCAGCTGCATGAATGTGGGACTGCAATTCTGTGGTATGAAAATGATATAATGAATGAGAGAGAATGCCTCATATTGTAATTCACATTACAGATTCAATTTGAAAGATGGTCAATCTGGATGCAAGCATTCCTTGCTAGCAAGACTGGGACTGTATTTGAAAAAAATGTAATTTTCTGGAATTACCATTGGGATATCACATCATCAACAATGCATCACGACTTCGAAATCATCAAATTGGAAAAGCTATCTTACTTCATTTCATTCTCATTTAAAGAGGAACTACTCATATTGCTATGTTTTTTGCAGCTGTTTCTCAAACAAGAACCCTGGAGCATCTTGTAACTGTCAGGCATAAAAGTGTATTACATGCCTGGTAAAAACTGGAACACCATTCAAACCTTTTCTGCATAAGAAAGAATTATGTTTTGTGTATGTTTCAACAATGATAGTTTATTTGCTTAGGAAATCATCTTTGGGAATAGGAAATCTTTTCCTTGCTTTTCATCTGCTTTGGTCATTGCTCACGACACAGCAGGCTGAAATTTCACAACTAGGGAACATTCTGAAAACAGAAAGGAAGAACTTAATACAGAACAGGGCAATCCATTTCATCATCGAGTTATTCTGGTAAAATAAAGCAAACGAGGGAATCAGCTCCAATGATTTTTTTAGGCTAGGAAAAGCTGGAATGTAATGAATACAAATTTATCAAGTTAATATCACTGTTAAAATTGTTGTTTAATAATGAGAGAAAAACGAATTACGAAAGGAAAGTAATTCTTGCCTATTACAATTATTTTGTTAAAATGTGTTGCACAGAAAGATGTTATCCATGAGCATTTATTTTCTGTGAAAATTCTAATTTGCTGGATGGAACAGAACTAATCTTCTCTGAACTAGGATAGGAATAGCAATATTCTTTATTGGCCAAGTATGATTGGACACACAAAGAATTTGCCTCCGGTACATAAGCTCTCGGTGTATAAGCTCTCGGTGTACATACAAATAACAAGGTGGTAAGTCATAAATCAGAAGGGACGAGGTGGCTCAGTCGATCAGAAAGGTCGGCAGTTTGGCGGTTCAAATCCCTAGCACTGTGTAACTGAGTGAGCTCCCATTACTTGTCCCAGCTTCTGCCAATCTAGCAGTTCGAAAGCATGTAAAAAAATGCAAGCAGAAAAATAGGGACCACTTTGGTGGGAAGGTAACAGCATTCCATGTGCCTTTGGCATTTAGTCATGCCACATGACCATGGAGATGTCTTCGGACAGCGCTGGCTCTTCAGCTTTGTAATGGAGATGAGCACCATTTCCTAGAGCTGGAAACGACTAGCACGTATGTGTGAGGGGAATCTTTACCTTTTAAAATCATAGATCACTGTATGTGATCTGCAATAGAACAAATCTATTGCAGACCAAATCAGAAAGATAAATATGGCTCAGAAGCTGTTACCTGGGTCAATGAGTTCAAATTAATTCTTTGTAGCCATAAATTGCAGGATCCAATCTGGGTCAGTCACCGGGACCAGAGTTTTAATTTTCTGAGCTTTCAGACATACTGGAGCCCACCCTCAGGAAACTTCTCTCTACCAGAATGTGTGTATTCAACATTATCTTGGGTTATATTTGACTTCATTCATAGCCGTAGAATAAATAACTATGGTTCTGTTTTCATTCTTCCTTCCTCCCTTCTTCCCACACTTAAGAGGTCATTATTTCAATACTACCTCAGACCAGTCGAAAATTACTGCATCTTGAACGAAATGTCCTTAAGCACAATACTTGTCAGCTAATTAGTATTAACAGCATCAGTATTAAAAACCATGTGCCTTAAACCAAATTAGTATCTAAGCCAATTAAATTAAAATCAACAACCAAATCAGATCAACTCTAAGCAAAAGGTTTGTTTAATCTCCAATCTGAAGCCCACATTCCTTTGTTATTTAGACTTCTATTCAATAACGATGAACTCGGTCATCTTTGTATCTTTGAGTGAAGAGCATGGCCAACTGGTTTCTAAGCTGCTTTTAAGCAAATATTTATAACAGATATAACACAGATAATTTAAATTTTATAGGAAGCCCTACTTTATCAATATTGCTTCCAATTTTTTTCTGAAAAGCAAAACTATGGAAATCTGCCACAATTTCTATAGCTGATTTGAAAAAAAAAATGATAGAAGAGAAACAGAGAAATAGTAAAAGCATCTACAACAATGGCCAAATGGCCAAATAATTATCACAGCCCAGTGCAGCCTTTACAGCAAGGACCAATCCATTTATGTTATCTTTTAAAAGAGCAATATAGGTACCAACTAAATGAAACAATATTATGTTTTAGTGTGTATAAAAACTCTTTATATTTGTTGACATTTACATTGAAGTAGGAGTGAGCAGAATAGTTTCAAATTATTTTTATTTTTTAATGTTCTTTTACACTTATTCTCATAACACTACTTTAAAAGAAGGCTTACAGAATTAAACAGAGATTTATAAACCAATAAATATACTATTTTCTTTTAAAAAGTGATATTTGCAGATATACATAATATCTTCAAAAAATCAACAACTTGCTTGAAATGGAAACAAATTGAAATTTTAAGCCTGTGTTTTGACTTGTTTATGATAGATGTGCATCTTATTATATTGTGTTCAAAGGGTCATTGATTTTTATATGTACCCAAGAAAGACACAAGTTATTTTTCCATCACCAGATTACCACAAGGCTAAAGTCTGGAAGAATAGTGAATTTTCCTTAACTTTCTATCAGTTATCGACAGTTCCTTAAAATCAACTTTGATTAATGCTTTCCTAAATTTGGGAATAGATAATAACTATATCCAGTGTAGACAACTTGCTGGTCTAAAATAAGGAGATCTACTGCTCAAAAGGGGGACGCAGTGGCTCAGATGCTGAGCTTGTCTATCAGAAAGGTTGGCAGTTCGGCGGTTCGAACCCCTGGCACCACATAACAGAGTGAGCTCCCATTACTTGTCCCAGCTTCTGCCAACCTAGCAGTTCAAAAGCATGTAAAAATGAAAGTAGAAAAATAGGGACCACTTTGGTGGGAATGTAACAGCGTTCCGTGCACCTTTGGCGTTTAGTCATTCTGGTCACATGACCATGGAGACGTCTTTGGATAGCACTGGCTTTTTGGCTTTGTAATGGAGATGAGCATTGCCCCGTAGAGCCGGAAATGACGTATGTGCAAAAGGAACCTTTACCTTTACTTTTACTGCTCAAAAACAAATTTCCAGCAAAAGCTGAAAAATTTGTCCTTTTGCATCTGGCATCCAGTATTCACATGATATTTTTATAAAAGTAGTCTTTGCTTGATGACCATTTGTTCAGTGACCAAGATTTCAATGGCACTGACCTGTATCAAAATTATGGCCATAGCAGGCCATACCTGTGGTCATAATGTTAGGAATGTAAGTCACGTAATAGTTGGGTTGGAAAATATATAAACCAGGATAACATTTTAATACTGTCTCTTTAAGGGAATGCTAAAATTGTAATTGGGTATGGTTCCTCAAACGGCCATAAGATGGAGCCAGAAACCTGGGTTGTTTAGTTCCTGTCCTGTTGCTGAGAGTGTTGCTGTTCCTTATTGACTGTTACTGATCATAGTTCTTCTTGGGTTTGATGTAAGTCTGTTACTGAACTGTTTTTGGTACTAGACTTTGATATTTGGATTATCCCTGGACTGAAAAATGACTGCTTTAACTGTGAATGACTCGGACCGCTTGTTTGGACTTTGCTTAAATGTTTATTGGAAGTAAAAACCTACATTTTACTATACAGTGTATCTGTGTGCTGTTTGTGTGTTATTCTTCACCACTTTCACTACGTCTCCCTGTGTGCGCTTATT